AATGTTGTAACATAACTAATCTGTCTTGATTAGTTATAAAGCTCCTTTGTAGCACTACTTCCTCCATCTCTTCATTCTTGCTATTCCTCTCTAGAAGCTGAAAATATCAAATATCCTCTTTCCAAACCTTTCTTACAGATAAGAATAACCACGTGGTTCAGTTCTGGACAAGGAAATGTAAGGAAAATTCTATTTGTGTTCCTACTAAATAGTTTCAATCTTCCAAAAGAGATTCTGAAAAGAATATTCCTTTCCTATTTTGTTTCTGCACACAATCATATGTACCCATCTTTTGACTGAGGGGATAAACCAAAGAATTAAAATCAGTATGTTAAGAAAAGCATTAATGAATGGTTATACCAAAACTGAATTTTCAACTCAAGATTGATTACTATGTGAGACTGTAAATGTCTTTAGCATTTGACCTACTATTAACCAGAAATATTTTGTTACTTACAACTGAATGTATACTAACTAATTGTATGGGGAATATATGAGTTTCCTCTCTGGCATCTATCAGACTGAAATTCCAATAGCCATATAAACCCTGAAGTCAGTGTGCATACCCAAAAAACAAAAGCATCATTTGTACTCATTAAAGACATGAAGATATCATCTAATGATGAAATTCTTTAGCTAAATATAAAAATCCACATGCAAATGTCAGAAAAGGACAGTGAGCTTGCTTACATTGGAGAAGACATATAAGAAAGTAGATTGGAAAGGGATATTCACTACTAAATTTATTATTAGTCTCTTTGTTCAGAATTAACACTAAAATAATTTTATAATCAGCTATCTGTGTAGAAAATTCAGTTGTTCAAGTAGTTCACAAAATGCCAACCATACATACTATACTAGCAGTAGATCTTCAGAGGTTAGCAAACAGCTGATAAAGAGGGTTCATTTTGTTTCAGGGATTATTTACAGAAGTTATTTGTAGCAGTCTGCAGCCTGATCTACATGAAATCACAACCTTTTTTAAAAAAATCTTTTTGAACTGATCATTTTGTCTACATTATCTTTCATTAGAAAATACTTTCCCATCCACATGTAGAAGACTGAAACTAGACCCCTGTCTCTCACCCTGTAGCAATATCAACTAAAGTAGGTCAAATACCTTAATATAAGGCCTGAAACTGTGAAAGAACTACAGGAAGTAGTAGGAAATACATTGGAACATACAGGCATAGGGAACAACTTCCTAAATAGAATTCTAACAGCTCAGCATCTAAGAGAAAGAATGAACAAATGGGACTGCATCAAGTTAAAAAGCTTCTGCACAGCAAAAGAAATAGTCACTAGATTTAAGAGCCTCCCCACAGAATGGGAGAAAAGCTTTGCCAGCTATTCATCCAATAAAGGAATAATATCTAAAATCCACAGGGAACTCAAAAAACTCAACTCTCAAAGAATCAACACCCCAATGAAGAAATGGACACATGAATAGGAATTTTTCAAAGGAAGAGATACAAATAGTAAATTACGTGAAAAAGTGTACAACTTTCCTGGCTATAAAAGAAATGCAACTACACTAAGATTTCATCTCACCTCAATTAGAATGGCCATATTCAAGAGCAAAACCAACAACAAATGCTGGTGAGGATGTGGTAAAACAGAAACCCTTAAATACTAGGTGGGAATGCAAATTAGAACAACCATTATGGAAAACAGTATGGAGGTCCCTCAAAAAGCTAAAAAACAGTGCTCCTGAGCATATATCCAAAGTAAGTCAGGATTCGATAGAAATGCTTGCACACCGATGTTTATTGCAGCACTGTTCATAATAGCCAAGCTAAGGAAACAACCCAGATACCCTACAGCTGATAAACGGATCAAGAAAATGTAATATATATGTATATATACATACATGCATATAGATATATATGAGTTTTACTCAACCCTAAGGAAGAATGACACCATGTGGTCTGAAGGTAAATGGATACAATTGGAGGACATTATGATTATGCTAAGTGAAGTAAGCCAGGTTCAGACAGATAAATGCTGCATGTTTTCTCTCATATGTGGAAGATAGATCCAAAAGATAAACATACACAAAAACAAACATGATCATACACAAACTTATATGTAGAACATGTTTATAATAGTAGAACTACACTATGGGACTTAGGGAAGGAGGAAAGAAAAAGAGAATGACAATATCATAATACATAACATCTGTGAAGGTAGAGGTAAGGATACAAATTGAAAGCTGTTGAAAAAATGGGAATTGGGAGGAAAGGAGTAAGGGAGAGTAATGGAAAGGGTTGAACGGGCCAAAGTAAAGTATATTCATAGCAGGGATACATTGAAAAACCCTTTTGAACATCAACTTAAATGTTAATAAAAGACAGGACTGCAAAATAGGTACAGTGTTGAAGGGTACTTATGGGGGAGCATGAATAAAGGAGCTTAAGGTGAGGAAATATGGTTGATGGACTCCATATACCTACATGAAATGGAACAGTGAAACATCTTGCAATTGCTTTAAGTGAGGTGGAGAGGGAATGATGGGGAGATATGGTAGGGGCAACCTAACTGATGTACAATATAAGCCTACTTGGAATTGTCACAATGAATTCCCCCCTGTACAACAAATACCTCCTAATAAAGACTTTTAAAAAGAAAATACTTTCCCAAGTTTAATTCTTAATTTATTACTTAATATTTTATTGAATGTTGACAATTTTACAGAGTACTCATGAAAAAATATAGTCATGGAAGAGGAATCATCCAGTGCTTTTTTGAAAAAAGATCACAGTATCCTTAAAATCAGAGTAGGCAGAGTGCAACAAACAACACAGCCACTCTGACATGAGAAACGAAATCTTCTCCAAAGTAGTCCAACAAGGCGAGCCCAACATTTTACACCATTTTCAGAAATTCCAATGAGCAGAGCAGATCAGGTCAGTTACTTACTATGTACTTTTATGCTTGGGTGAAAAATGTCTGTAACAAAGAGATTTTGGTTTATTTTTATACATTGCAAAAACAGAGCTGCATGGGCTAGAAGAGATGATGGCTAGTAGAAAAAAAAGTTCATGTGATTTATGTGGGGCTAAGGGTAGTGATCCAAGTAGGGCTGGGTGCAAAGGATCACTAGGGACAAAACCACCACCTCAGTACAGTTAGTTGTCAGTGAGCAAGAGGGACTCACAGGCAGACTTTTTGAAAACAATTTCAATGGGAGAAATGGAGACAGTGGGAAATAAAGCCATAACTTCTTCTAAATAATGAGAAATACTTTAAAAAACAGTTCATATATTTAAGTTCAAAAATATAATTTGTTTGAGGCCAACTACTTTCAAAATTACCTGCTCATTTGGGCCTCTGAACTTTTATACTAATTATAGTGTTTGCATTAGGAAAAGTGATCACAACCCTTGCAAATTCTGACTAGCTAGTTCTTCAGTTAACTTTCACAGAAACACCCTCTAGAGGACTGATTCAATGAGAAGTGTTCTAGGTTCATTCTCATTCAATCTATCATGTTTAAGGGGGAAAGCCATCAATAAATGACCATTAGTGATATCATTATTAATACCATTACTATTTTCAAACCTTAAAGTTTATTTTTGAAATAAAGGTTGGCTCTCTCCTAAAATGCTAAAACTTTTACACACATGCAAAAGTATGACTTGGAATTTGGAAAATTACTTTGCAGTCTGGGAGCTCTTAGTTAACTGAGAAAAATTTTACTGCAATTAGTACTTTCAGGCACTTGATGCTATCTTGTCATATCTCATTCTTTGGAAATTAGGTGGTGTATTTCACAATTTCCCAAATTAACTTTCAAAACAGTATTTACCAAACTGTCTGGAGCCCTTTCTCCCCAAATTAGAGCATCCAACACAGAAGATACATAGTATGACTTGAAGAATAATGGTTTTTAAATGTCTCTTTTGGATATATATAATGTTGAATACTTTCTCCTAAAAGCAGTCATCTCTTGACACTTACAAAGGCATCTCAAATGTGATCTCATTGATTGTCAAGACCCAGGAACTAGTACAGTGCTGGACACAAAAGTCTTAGTATATATTCTATGATTGAATGGATCCATGAGTGAGTGAGTGAGTAAACTACAGATAAAAGAACAGATAAATGAATGTAGAATCCTCCCCTTAGAGTACTGCCTTCCCAGCCAGTAACACTTTCACTTTAAAATCTACACTAATGTCAAAGTTTTGTGGTTTGGGGTGAATTTGCCAAAAACATTAAAAAATGACTATGACCAAGTCTTAGGAATAAGAGAAAAAATCTAGTGGGATAAGGACACTTAAGGAAATACAAGGCATAATCAAAATATTTCAAGTTTGACTTTCTCATGATTGGGCTCTGAAGGCAATCCCAGAACTGATTTCAGCATCAACAACAACTTTGAACTAGGCATATCAGCTCCAGAGTGACTTTTTCAAAAGGTATGTTCATTTGAATGCAAGAAGAAATGGCATGCTAATTTTGGTTCTCTAATTTGGCTCAGACATTTATAGTAAGGTTACATAATATTTTTAATACGACAAGGGGAAAATGTTTCATAAGCTTATTCTAATCTTAAATCCATACAACCTTATTTTTCCCAACTGCAAAATCAAGAATCAATCTAGAGGCTTTCTACAAACTCCTCCAATACTAGCATTCAATAATTCTACAAATAAATAGGTCAAACACTGTTCTCAATCTTTGAACATGCTCACTAACATTTCAGAGATTTCATATTGAAGAAATTTGCCCCTAAACATTGGCAAGACTTCAAGAGATATCATACTTTAGGCTATAGAGCACAAGATGCATGGCTGTTGGATTAAGTAAATGGGACCCCTCTCTCTCTTTCTCTCTCTCTCTCATACACACACACACACACACACACACACACACACACACATACACACACACACGTTTGTCCCATTAGCAGTAAACTGTCTGTCCCCAAACAGGAACGATTATAGAAGTCAAAATGGCAGTTCACATTCCTGTGAAATCAGTTCTACAGCTTTTCACTAAGTAGTTACAACTTCAAAAGTAGGAGAAGTGCCTTCAAACGCAAGTATGACTGCAGGCTTCAGAATATCCTGCTTCCTATTGTGTCCAAAATATCTTATTCTGTAGATTCCAGGTTGAGCAGTGTATGGAATGTGCCATTCTATCGTTGCATTGCTCTGACCCAGTAATCCCTTGTGCCAATAAAACCTGTTGGTAAAAAACAAACAAATAAGCAAACCACAATTTACTCTTAAAATGTGGGATTATTCATTTGATGACTACATGAGCAAGACACTATTGTAGATGTTGAAGATTTAGCAACAAAACAGACATAAATGCCTATTTTCTAACAGAGGACCTTTTAATAGGAACAGCTACTTATAGAAAATTACCTGCTCAGCCTTTCTAACTACCTAACTGTATCCATCCATGAAACCTTACCCGATAATTAGAACAAGAATGTCTCCTGCTTTGAATTGTTACAGCATCCTTTTAGTCTTTGTCAGACTCTGTACAGACTGACACTTCTTTTCACATCCGGATCCATTTATTAAAAATGTGTAATTAATCTGTGCCAGATTCTGTTCTATTCAAGAAGTACTGAGGAGACAGTGGTGAGCAGATAGAGATTGTCTAAAGATAGTTTTAAGTTTCACAAAACATGTTCTATTGAACAGAGGTGGGGAGTAAAAAACAATAAAGAAACAAGCCAGTATAACCTATATACTTTTTTTTATTTTAAGAGGGATAAATAAGACAGAAGCTTCTCTGAGATGTCATTTGCACTGAGTCCACAGAGATGTGGAGGAAGAACATTTTAGGAAGAAGGAACAGAGAACACAAACTGAGGACAGCAGGAACAAACATGGTGCGGCCAAGGAACAGAAATCCAGTCCGCAGGAACAGGGCATAGTGAACTATGAAAGAATGGCTAAGAAGAGAGAAACACACAGAGTTAGATCAGGCTGGTCCCTAAAGACCATAGTAGGGATCACAGAGACTCCTGAAGGTGCAGTGAGACACTGTGGACTATCTAGCTGACACCTCAGTAGACACAGAAAGCAAATCCTTTGAACACAGAGAGTATACTGAACATTCTCCACTTTCTGGTTATTGGCTGAGTGCGCCCCATAAATATGGTACTGTTGTGATGGATCAAGCAGAGTCCAGTTACAGATCCTTAGTATTGACCACCATTCTGGGTTTTAGCTTTTGAAAATAAATCATCATTTCTTATGATCAGCATAGCCAGTTTTCCCAATAAATATGTATTACTTCTTTTAAAAAATATAAAGACTAAAGAAAAAAACATATCTATATTTATAGATGACTATAGATGGACATAGTCAAATCCTTATTTGCTGTTAACTATGTGTACTAAACCAACACACAAATAATTACTGCATTTGAGCTAGATACCAATTGCCAAAAACTTCTCATACTTCCATATGTCTGTCCTGTGTATGAGATTTATAGACTTGACAATGTAAATATTTTCTATTTCAGACATATCATCAAAATCTTCAAAATATCTCTTCAGCTGAATTTGCTAACAAAGGCACAGAGCTGTATCTGAAGAAACTCCATGAGCTTATTACTCCCTTTCTTAAGTGTGTAAGAGTTAAACATTGAGCCTTTGTGTTTCAATACCTCAAATGAAGAATCACTAGCAATATACAGAAATGCACTACATGTCTGGAACAGAGTTATTATTTTCCCAATAATGTTGATCTCTACAGAGGTATCTCAGGTCCTTCACCCAATACCCATTTCAACCAATTTGCAAGAAAGCTACTCAGTTTTTCAGGCCAATGACCATGGGAAAAAACAAAACTACTAGGATGTCTACAAGAATTGAAGCCATCGTCTCATTACTGCCTAATCTTATAGGAGCACACATAATGCTGTTTTGTAGAAACACAGAATTCAAAATCAAGTCTACTAAATCAACTAAATATGGCTAGAAGGATCGTTAGGAATTTGATATCATTAATAGCATGTATTTAGTCAGTCTTCTCATTTGTCTTTTCTGCATTACTAAGCAACTGTTTTCAAGGCTTGAAAGAGAAAATATTCAACAGACATGCTCACCGAGTCTCCCAAGAGGCATCATTGTACATTATCTGCCAGGCTGCTGTCGTGTTCTCATATTTCTCCACAGTAAGGAAGGTCTCATGGGTCTAAAATGCAATTAATATAACTTATCAGTCACTGCACAGTCACAAAAAAACTCCTCTTTATTCTAACTCTCCTTGCTGATCACAGGCTAACTAATTTTTTTTTTGTGAAGATGCATTATAATTTCACGCAAGTTCTTCTTAGTGTTTCCCTTAACATGCTGTGCAAAATCTTCAGAATGTTAACTTACACCATCTATTAAAAACCATAACATGTTTAGAAATTTGAAAGAGGCATAATTATGGAGCTGATAGCAAATTTTGAAAATTATAGTTGAGAAGAAAATGGGAATAAAACTAGAAGTATAAAAAAGGAATAAGTCAAGTCTTTTCATGACTAGTTTATTGATCTATATTCCAAGGCTTTCTCTAGTCACCTCATGATTTAGGAAGGAAAATGGAAGTTTCTTCATCTTTCCACCTCCAGGAAAATGAATTATTAGTTACTGTGCCTCCCTGAGTGAAAGAATTGAAAAGAATACATAAATCTTACCTGTCCTGGGTGCTAAAGACAGTTTCTATACTTTGTCATAATGGATTCCTAGAAACCACATCATAAGCAGATTTTACTTCCCCATTGGAAGAGCACTATCATAGAGCAATTTGTTTCAGACCAAGAATTCAGCTTCAAGTAAAGTACAGATTTGAATAGTATGACAAGTTAATAAGTACAAAGGCCATAAATCTCCAATTTCCCTCAAAATCCTTTAGACCATGGCCTGTAAAGGTAGGTCTTATGCCTAACTCATCTTTATCCATCACAGTCCTTTATATCTGTCACTTACAGGTCCCCAGAAAATGCTTTATTGAGTGGATCACTTATTTACAGCTGGGCTATGCAGTTGTTTATGTCTTCTCTAATTATTCAGTTGATGTATTGTATTCAATAAGGAAGTTTTCATAACCGTGGTGACTTGTAAAGAAAGCTACTTCTGTTCATTGAGAACAGAATGCCATTGGAAGGGCTTAGATGGAGTAGGATGCACGACAGGTCCAAATGAGCAGAACTAGAGTGCAGATTGGAGAAAAGGCCAAGACCACTGAATATCAGGGACAAAACATGTGACTATCCTTTCTCCACTTCCCTCCCATAATCTCTTCCAGATGCATAATTAATTACTACAAATTAATCACTCTAGGATTTAATTTACTCATCTATAAAGTGGTTTCTACTTATTTTAATAAGTAGAAAGAATAAAGTGTGATCAGAAAGTAACTTATTGGGTAGTAGTGGGGATTAAGTTAGATTCACATGATAATATATATAAAACATTCAGCCTAGTACCTGAAAATAGTAACCATTCAGCTAATCTTTCAGCTAATTCAGTAATCATTCAGCTAATCATGATGACATGATGATTGTGAGTGATAATGGTCAGTGGAAATCATTTGCACCAAGTTCCAGACCATTGTTAGAAATCAATTCTATTCTCACTATAGTGCTTAAAGCATCTGAGTCTCCACTTCTCCATGGCAATAATCATGGCAGTGCTCCTCCACAGAGAGACACCAGATGACAGCTAACCCTGTAGTTTTGAAACAATGCTTTGATATTTTCAGAAAATAATGTAAACATGTAAACATTTTGGTTTAGCTTGACCTCTGAGATAAATTATTTCAAACAAGTGCACAGTGGCACATTATCCTCAATCTCATATTTGATATTGTCATATTATTATCATAATAATGGCATTTTAACTAACAGAAATGAGAAGGGTCACTTAGAGGAAAAGCACTTGGGCTAGAAGTGGCTATGGGCCCTAGGAAGAAGTTCTCACCAAGGCAGTGGATACATCCTTGGTCATAGTAAAAAAAAATATCACCTACAAATCATGTTCACATGCACACTTTTTCTTTTATAAATGTCCTTTTCTAAATTTCCTTCTGCTTTGGTTTTGATTTTTGTTCTTGAGGGTTTTTTTGTTTGGGAGAGGTTTTATTTCTTTATTTGTTGAGATAGGATCTTGCTATGTGGCCCAGGCTGACCTTGAATTCACAACTTTTGAACTTTAGCCACCTAAATGCATGGGATTATGTTATTCACCACCACACCCAGTTTGTTTAAATTTGTATGTGAATGTGTCCACTTATTGTGGTTATAAGACCATTCTAAAGAAGCTACAGAAGAGTAAAATTGCCTTATTTTATTATTAGACATATGTGTATAATTCATCATCAGAGCCCATCAGATATTTCCTGTGTGCTTATATCTAGACTTGATCCCACATTAACTGTACTCACTGACGATTTCCCACTTCATAAAATAAGACAGAAGACAAGTTGGCACAGTTTGTCTTTATGTTTTAACCTCCAAAAGGATATTCAAGTAAACGAAAGGCTAAAAAGTGGTCATAATTTGTAAAAGACTATTGATATATACCTGGTTTTCTGCTGAATTTTTTGGGTTGGCACCTACAAATGTAACTTCAACAACTTCTCCCTGGAAATAAAAATACCCATTAATGAGTTCTAATAAAAGTATTTTTGTTGTACTCAGATTTGAAGCATTATCTATTATACATTCTAGGACCCTGGGGGTCTATATAGATTCCATTCTATTTAATTGAGTGGTTATCTTTTACAGGTATTACAAAAAAATACCCTTGCAACAATAAACACAGGTATTTGGGGCCAAAGATTTTGTTTTGGTAGAACCAGTTGCAGATGAAGATTCAGAGCTAATGTTCTTTTAGCTGTAGCTGTTTTGTTTGGTTTTATTTTATTTTGGAGACAGGGTCTCACTAGTCAGCCAAGGCTAACCTTGAATGCATGATCCTCCTGCTTCAGCTCCCAAGTGGTGGAATAACAGGTGCAAACCACCACATCTGGCTCAAAGATATAGTTCCTAATAGTGACAGCAATATAAATTGCTTCTCCGTCAATCCCAGTACTGCAAACAAGGCTACTTCAGCCCCTAAATTTTTCTCACATCTCCTTCCTGAAGCATACAGGAGATAAATTGAATCAGATAAAAGCAGTCAAAACTTACTGTGAATTGCTTATACTTACTTCTAATTATGCAAAACAGAGTGTGAGGGTGTACATTACCCTCCCACTTGAAACAACCAAAAAAACTGGACAAAATATGTATTAAACAGTACTTTTGAAGACAATGGGCATTGAGCAATGAAAGACAGTGATTCCTGAGAACAAAGTGATTCTTGAAAACAAAAAAGGTAATCCCTACAGCTGTCCCAACTTAATTTCTTTAGAGAGTGTCAGGGTACCCTAGGCTACATAGTGAGACCCTGCTTCAAATAAGCCAAAAAAGAAAAAAAAAGAAAGAGGGAGAGAGAGAAAGAAAGACAGATGAAAGAGAGAGGAAGAAAGGAAGGAAAGAAGGAAGGAAGGAAGAAACAAATGAAAAGAGCTGATATGTCCTTGCATAAAAGCTTAATGATAGGTTAAAGAGTAGGTAGAGGCGATCTAAGATGGTGACTAGAGGGAGGAAGCAGACAACAAGAGATCTGTAAATCAAAAATCTTGCTGAGACACTGCAGCCACACTTGGCAGAACAAAAACCACCAAGAATAAGCAAAACTCCAACACCCTGAACCCCCAGCCCACACAAATCTTCTCCATGCCACAATACACTAAGAAACCAGGAGGGCTGCCATACTGCCAGATGCCAGCTCCAAATCTGCTTGGGAGACACAGACCAACAGGTGAGCAAATAAACAGCATGTGATGCTTCCACAGCCATCCCTGGGATAAACCAGCATACCCCCTGGACCGATTGACCCCCCCCACAAAAAAAAACTGAATAATAAACAAGGAACTGAAAAGGACACACAGCAGAGGGGGTGGGGTGCTCTGAGCGCACAGGAGAAGGGGGAAAGAGCAAGGAGCTACTCTTCACATGAACTCTCAGTAAACAAATCCTCCAAAAGTAGATGGCTGACAGTAGGCAGCAGATGAGCTGCTGCCTGAAATAAGGCAGATAGTGGTTCACAAAGCTGTCTCCTGACCCAACCATCTGGTGAGACAACAACAGAGATACTACTTAAATACCAACACTGGGACTGGATGCTGAAGGAGTAACACCAGAATTGCCAAGACTGAAACTTCATTGTTCCTGAACCTGAAACTTTTTTTTCTTTTTTCTCTTTCTCTCCAAGTGCTTGTTTTGTTCATTGTTGGTTAGTACACCATCTCTCCCTGCTGAATTCTTTGGTTTTCTTTTTTTTTTTTTCTTTCTTTTCTTTCTTTTTCTTCTTACTCTTTATTTCTTGGTCTCATTACTTTTACTGTTGTAAGTTAGCTAACACTAAATTACACACAGAACAGGGACAAAAACAGCACCAAGTGAAATGATGGGAAGATGAAAAAGGAATGGAAACCGTTCTCCCCCAAAAAATAAATTAGTACAGGATTCAGAGAAAAATGAAGAAAATAGATACTCAGGTCCAGACCCCAACAAAACAAAGATAGACTATCCCAAAGAACCCAATGAAGCCCACAAGAACACCCTGAAAGAAGAAATTCTACAAGAAATCACTGAGAATTTCATGGAGATGTTACTAGACAAGGTCAACCAAAACATACAGGAGGCACTCAAGAAATTCCAAGAAAATAAAAATAAAGAATATAAGAAGAAGACAAATAAGTGAACTCATAGGAGCCCTAAATAAATACCAAAGTGAAACAGAGAACACCATAAGTAGAGAGATAAGTGAATTGAACAAAAATTGACAATATTAAAGAGGAAGTAACCCATGATATGGAAAACCTCAGAAAAAAAAGAAACAGAAATACAAAACACAATGGAAGGCCACTCTGGCAGACTAGAACAAGCAGAAGACAGAATCTCAGAACTTGAAGATGAAATAGAAATTAAAGGAAAAACCAAAGAGCTATTAATCAAACAACTCAAAACCTGTGAAAGGAATACACAAGAATTCACCAACTCCACCAAAAGACCAAACCTGAGAATCATGGGTATTGAAGAAGGCAGTCCTGAGAAGAAAGTTTATAGCCACAAGTGCATATATTAAAAGGATAGAAAGATCTCAAATTAATGACCTAATGCTACATCTCAAACTCCTAGAAAAACAAGAACAAGCAAATCCCAAAACAAACAGAAGGAGAGAAATAATAAAAATACAAGCTGAAATCAATGAAATAGAAACAAAAAAAAACAAACAAAGAATCAATGAAACAAGTTGGTTCATTGAAAAAATAAATAAGATTGACAAACCCCTGGCAAACCTGACTAAAATGAGCAGAGAAAAAAACCCAAATCAGTAAAATTAGAAATGCAAAAGGGGAGATAACAACAAACACCATGGAAATCCAGGAAATCATCAGAGATTACTTTGAGAACCTATATTCTAATAAATTTGAAAATCTTGAAGAAATGGACAGATTTCTAGATACTTATAACAATTCAAAATCAAACCAAGAGGACATTAATCATTTAAATAGATCTATAACACAAAATGAAATTGAAGCAGCAATAAAGAGTCTCCCAAAAAAGAAAAGTCCAGGACCTGATGGATTCTCTGCTGAATTCTATCAGATGTTTAAGGAAGAACTAATACTAACCCTCCTTAAACTGTTCCATGAAATAGAAAGGGAAGGAAAACTGCCTAACACATTTTATGAAGCTAGTATTACACTCAACCCAAAACCAAAGACACCTCCAAAAAGGAGAACTATAGGCCAATCTCCTTAATGAATATTAATGCAAAAATCCTCAATAAAACAATGGCAATCCAAATCCAACAACACATCAGAAAGATCATTCACCACAACCAAGTCGGCTTCATCCCAGGGATGCAGGGGTGGTTCACCATATGCAAATCTATAAATGTAATACAGCACATCAATAGAGGCAAAGACAAAAACCACATGATCATCTCAATAGATGCAGAAAAAGCCTTCGACAAGATCCAACACCACTTCATGATAAAAGCTCTAAGAAAACTAGGAATAGAAGGAATGTACCTCAACATTATAAAGGCTATATATGACAAACCTACAGCCAACATCATACTTAATGGTGAAAAACTGAAACCATTTCCTCTAAAATCAGGAATGAGACAAGGGTACCCACCATCCCTACTCCTATTCAACATAGTACTCAAATTCCTAGCCAGAGCAATTAGGCAAGAAGAAGGAATAAAAGGAATACAAATAGGTAAAGAAACTGTCAAATATATCTGTCAAAATATCCCTATTTGCAGATGACCTGATCCTATATCTTAAAGACCCAAAAAACTCTACTCAAAAACTCCTAGACACCATTAACAGCTACAACAAAGTGGCAGGATACAAAATCAACTTACAAAATTCATTAGCTTTTCTATATACCAATAATGAACAAACTGAGAAAGAATATATGGAAACAATTCCATTTATAATAGCCTCAAAAAAAATAATACCTAGGAGAAAACTTAACAAAAGATGTGAATGACCTCTACAAGGAGAACTACAAATCCCTGAAGAAAGAGATCAAGGAAGACTACAGAAAGTGGAGAGATATCCCATGATCAAGGATTGGTAGAATAAACATAGTAAAAATGCCTATACTATCAAAAGTGATCTACATGTTTAATTCAATTCCCATCAAGATCCCAATGACATTCATCACAGAGATTGAAAAATCTATCCTAAAATTCATTTGGAAACACAAGAGACCGTGAATAGCCAAGGCAATACTCAGCATAAAGAGCAATGCTGGGAGGTATCACAATACCTGACTTCAAACTATATTACATAGCAGTAGCAATAAAAACAGCATGGTGCTGGCACAAAAACAAACATGAAGACCAGTGGAACAGAATGGAGGACCCAGGTATGAATCCACAAAATTATGCCCACCTTATTTTTGACAAAGGCGCTAAAAATATACGATGGAGAAAAGACAGCCTTTTCAACAAATGTTGGGAAAAGTCGTTATCTGTCTGCACAAAACTGAAACTAGATCCATGTTTAACAGGTTTATGTTGATACACTGTACTAGTATCAATGCAAAATGGATCAAGGGACCTTAATATCAGACCTGAAACTCTAAAGTTGGTATAGGAAAGAGCAGGAAACACTCTGGAAGTGATAGGTATAGGCAAGAACCTCCTCGATAGAACCCCAGCAGCTCGGCAACAAAGAGAAAGAATGGACAAATGGGACTTCATAAAACTAAAAAGCTTCTTCACAACAAAAGAAATGGTCTCTAAACTGAAGAGACCACCCACAGAGTGGGAGAAAATATTTGCCAGCTATACATCAGACAAAGGACTGATGACCAGAATATACAGGGAGCTTAAAAAACTAAACTCTCCCAAAATCAATGAACCAGTAAAGAAATGAGCAACTGAACTAAACAGAACTTTCCCAAAAGAAGAAAGTCAAATGGCCAAAAAACACATGAAAAAATGCTCACCATCTCTGGCCATAAAGAAAACTCAAATCAAAACCACACTAAGATTCCACCTCACCCATGTTAGAATAGCTATCATCAAAAACACCAGTACCAACAAGTGTTGGTGAGGATGTGGGGAAAATGGAACACTCATACACTCCTGGTGGGAATGCAAGCTAGTGCAACCACTCTGGAAAAAAATATGGAGGCCTCTTAAAAATCTAGACATAGATCTGCCATATGATCCAGCAATCCCACTCCTAGGAATGCGACTCAGGTTCCTCCACAGGCACCTGCACACCCATGTTTATTGCAGAACTATTCACAGTAGCCAAGTTATGGAAACAAACAAGATGCCCCACTACTTTCTAATGGATTAAGAAAATGTGGTATTTGTACACAATGGAATTTTACTCAGCCATGAAGAAGAATGAAATCTTATCATTCACAAGTAAATGGATGGAAGTGGAGAACATCATTCTGAGCGAGGTTAGCCAGGCTCAGAAGATCAAAAATCGTATGTTCTCCCTCATATGCAGACTTTAGATCTAGGGCAAACACAGCAATGTGGTTGGACTTGGGTCACACACAGGATGTATGGGGATAGGTAAGAAATCCAAAACATGAAAGTACTTGATAGCCCCACTGCAGAGGAACTAATATGGAAACCTTAAAGCAACAGAGGTCAATATGAGAAGGGGATCAAGAAGTAGTGAAAAGGTCAGTTAGAGATGAATCTACTTTGGATGTAACACATTTGTACATGGAAGCAATGCTAGGAATCTCTCTGTATAGCTATCCTTATCTCAATTAGCAAAAACTCTTTGTCCTTCTTATTATTGCTTATGTCTTCTCTTCAACAAAATTAGAGATAAGGGCAGAACAGATTCTGCCTCGAAGCGAGGAGGTGAGGGAGAGAGGGAGGAGGTGAAGGGTTAGGGGGAAGAAATGCCCCAAACAATGTATGCACATGTGAATAGATGAATAAAAAATTAAAAAATAAAAAAAGAGTCGGTAGAGGCAATAAAACTAAAAGCTAGTTCTTTAACAACACAAATTACCTAAATCAGGAAGAAAGAGGAGGCATCATTGTCAACCCAACAGTAATTAAAAGGATTATGAAAGAATGTTATGAACAAAAACAAATTAAACAACATAGAGAAAATGAGGAAATCCCTAGACAGATGGGAATTCCAAGAAAGAAACAGATTCTAGGAAGACAAGTTAAATTTTAAGAAAGACACATGATAGACTTAAAGAACACACAGAAAATTTGAGAGCCAAGTGCCAGTGGCTCATGCTTATAATCCTAGCTATTTGGGGGCTAAGACGAGGAGTATGGGGGTTCCAGGCCAGCCTGGGAATAAAAGTTTGCAATATTCCATCTTAGTGGGAAAAAACTGGGCATAGTGACACATACCTGTCATCCCAATCATGGCAGAAAGCTTCAAAAAACAGGAGGATCACTGTTCAGGTCCATCTGGGCAAAAACCAAGAGCCCATCTCCAAAATAACCAGAGCCAAAAGGGCTGGAGATGAAACTCAAGCAGCAGAGTGCCTGCCTTACAAGCCTGAAGCCCTGAGTTCAAACTCAAATACCACCGAAGAAAAAGAGAGAGAGAGAGAGAGAGAGAGAGACAGAGAGAGAGAGAGACAGAGACTCCCACCTATTAGAACTAAAGAATGATTTAGCAAGTTTGAGGACAAGATCAACATACAATATAATGCACAGATCCTGTTTCAGTTCTGTGTGTTTTCCTATTCTTGATTTAAAAGGCAACTTCTCTTTTACTTCAACTGCTTCTTTAACCACCCATTTAAGACAAAGAATAATTTGTATTTTAGAAATTCAATTTCACATAATTACCCCCAGAAATAAAAATCAGTATTTCCCATTCTCATGACTTCAGTAGAGCCTCTGCAAAGATAAGAACCCAGCTGCCAAAATTACCATTGCTAAGGCTGGTCTATGGTATGATTAACATTATACAAAATCATTCCCTTTACTTCCAAAAAGCAGGTCTCTGAAATATTTTAAGATATCTCTATAAGTCTTACCACTCTGTATTCAAGTTTCGTTGACTGCAGGACGTCCCCAAAATTTGTGCCTATTGGTGCTTTATCCACAATATTAAGAATAAATGGGATTATCAGTTGCTTGAAAAATGGAGGCTCTGGACCACTGCTCATGTTGGCTACTGTGTCCTAAAACAGAGCACTGGCTTAAGGAAAATGCAACGCCCAGCCCAAAATCCTTTTCCCCCACCTCCATACCCAGAAATGCCTTCATTATAGGAAGTATGTATACTCTCTCTCTCTCTCTTTTCCTCCAAAAGCTAATAACTTTTAACAAAATGTGAAGAGAACCTTGCTAAAATGTGATCCTAGTTGTCTATAATTTCAACTTTGTCATTAAAAGAAAGTTTTGGTTGGAGGCAGCTGTTTCATTTCCTCAGGCAGGAGAACAATCTTGGAGGCACACTACTCAGGTTTAGATTCTGGGGCAGTCATTTTTCTAATTGTGTGACTTTGAACATGGGCCTAACACATGATAAGCATTTATAACATAGTATTATAATTATTTGTAGAATCTGTGCAAAATGTTGAGACTCTTTCACCCAGATCAAAATCATGATTTTTTCCTGGATCTGTGTTTGTAAAGAATGCAATAATCACATTTTTAATATAAAGTTTAAGATTAGTTTACATCCAGACTGGTTTAATCTGTTTTCCACAAATTTTACCACCTTTAATAGTGTCACCAAAATGTAAATCACTATTTTAATTAGCCTTTGATATATGTTTAATGTTTTTTAATCCTTACATTGTCTATTTAACCATTCCAGTAATACATGGGATAGGCATGCATTGTCATTCTCAGCTGACAAGCAAGAAAATAGGTTTGGAGATACTCAGTTGGTTGTTCAAGATCACATAGCTAGTCTTAAAATGAATGACTACAAAGTAGACCAGGAGACAAATTTCTACAAAGTGAACTGTGTCTTTCTTCACTAAATGTCACTATAAAATTTGACGAATTTATTTCTGTGGGTAGAACTCTGTATCTGCACCTATAATGAAAGTTAAACAGTTATAAGTTATAGGTTTATATTTCTGTATAATCTGAATATTCTGCCAATAGGTTTAGTGTTTATGATCAAATAAATAAATAAAAATAGTGCTACATCAAAAAAATCAACAGACCAAAACTGAGAGGGACACTATGATAAAAATAGTAATTAAGAAATTAAAATATATGCAAAGTAAACATTATATTGAAATTTCAAACATACAATCAGCAACTGATGGTGAAGGCATATGAAATTGTCAATGTTCAACTGATTTGACCTACGGGAGAGCACCTTCATTGGTTTCAATCTAATATGTCCAAGCTCTTCTTTAAATGGCCTTTTTTGTACTTTCTATGCCATAGTTATTTCACAGTTTTTACCAAAGCATGTATGTTATTACATAGGGTTAGTTTGTTATTTTCAAGTTCTTTATCTTGCTTATTAACTAATCTTCTGGTACCACAACTACAGTTTCATAAATACCTCAGTGGTAAGATTTCCGCAACTAAAATTCCTTTAAACCAAGTAAACTTATTCAGGTGTAGATATTTCAGGCATATGTAATGTCTGCATTCCAAGGTATTCCTGTATTTCATCAAATCAAAGCCTCCATCCACTATAACAACTTATTCTTTGAACCACCAAGAAACTAAAAACTGCTACTTATTGTAATGGTAAGATTCCTCTGATTGGAAAACTGCTTTTTCCATGGGAAATGGGCTTCCTACAGGTGATGACCTACTCTAGTCTTGGAGTGGATGGAGAATCTGGCAAGGATTGGAGAACTGTGGTCTAATTCCCAGTGAGAGTTACAGTAAGCCTAGCCACTTTTCATCTTCAAGACATTGCTCATCTGAAAGATGGATGAAAATAATACCTCCTTACTTCACATGATGGTTTTGAGAATAAAGAAATTATAATATAAATGAAATAATAATATATATGAAACTAATGGATATTAACTGAATTTGAATTTTATTATCAGTAAAATCTCACTTCTTTATTTATTGATACCACATAGCTACAATTTTCTTTTGTAGGGGACCCTAAGATTTTTTTAATATAAAGGTTGTCAAATTGAACATATGGAGTTAAGGTTCACTCTTGCTTCCCTCTGTACCTCCTCACCCTGAAGTGTATGTATACACACACACACACACACACACACACAAATATTTGTTTACCGTAGCAATAGCCTTAGCAAGAGCTCTAAAGAGCTGGATGTAAGCGGACAGAGTATGTGGCCCATAAATTGTAGATGCTGCCTCATACCGCTGAGCCTGCAGGAGAAGCAAGGAGAGGTATAGATGGTTCTGCATATTTCAACACATTTACAAGGGTATAGCCTTTTAAGCAAGGGATGTTTGGACATCTCTCATTGTTCATCTTCAACATTATTTGTGAAAAGACAGGTTGTGTATTTCCATGTACCAAACAAAGCAAACGGCTCCCAACAGCTACGTGTTAAAGACAATAGGTTCTGTTTGCAGATGCCATTTAAACTGTCACTCCATCTCATCTGAAAGAAGCCACTAGCTCTTCAAGTATCTATTGAGTACTTGTAATATATATATATATATATATATCCCCTACAGCACATCAGGAAAAACAAGGGTAAAGGAAATATATTTAATAACTCCTGGATAAATTGGGAGCTGATGGTACTCTCTTTAAAGGCTATTTAAACTCTCTCCCCCCCACAACTGAGCTGTGAAGTAGAGAAAAATACATCTTCTTACCTGAGCTCCAAGCCTTTGGTTGTTCCATAGGAACCTCAACGTCATCAAATCTAAAGGGTACCCCAGATTCCTGACATGCCAGCTTTCCCTACAACATTCTGCATCCCAGTGAAAGCCATCTTTCCAATCTCTGATGTGATGATCTTCTGATAGCCATCTTAGATTCCTCTTTCTCTCTCACCCTACATACTTTTCATGTACACATCATGTCATCCTACTTTCTTAAAACTCTATTGAACTTGTCCATTTTCCCATCTCTGCTGCCTTTACCTTTGTTCAAATCCTCAGTCCTTAGATCTTAACTACAGCTTCTTAATCCATTCTTTCTCCACTCCTGTCTTCCCCAATTCATTTTCCACACTGCCATTCCAAGGACCTTTTAAAATCACCAAGTGGATCAAAGCATTCTCTTGCCATTAATCCTACTACAATCCCCTCAAAACTATCATTAAGTCAAAGCTCTGTTGCATTGCACCCAAGACTCTAATTCCACTAACCCCTGTCTCCCTCTCCAGCCCTCATTTCACTATCACCCTCATCAAATTTACTCCAAGATACTCAACAAACTATGGTCTACTAATGTGCCAAGTCAGTGGCTTTGAACTTTGTATGTGTGGCCCCCCGTACATAGCATACTTTACTAATTTTATTTGTTTGACTAACCCTCATTTGTTCTCAATAACTCACACAGATATTGCATCTTCCTGATGTCTACCAGTATGCATCTTCAAATACTCAGTCAAAATTGAGGTCTTCTCTTTGTTTTCATATCACCTAGCACATGCCTTATTCAGAAGTGTCATTATCTGCTCTCTACTCTGTCTTTCTACTAGAGCATTCATTAGCTGCTAGGGATCTTGAGGGCAGGAGCAGATTGTTTTCATTGCTATGACCCAGAAAGTGACTAGTAGAGTGTCTGTTGCCATACATGTATGTTGAGCTAAGTAATTAATTAGTGAGTAAATAGTAATCCTTATAAAACAATACCTTACTTCAGGTTGCACTGCCAGGATTAGATAAGGTTACATTTGCCAAGTCCCTAACTAGTACATTCAATAAATAGCAGGTGTCAATGGTAGTTCTCCCAGCTTCTGCAGAAGCTTAAGGCACAAGATGTATCACAGATAGTTATTTGCATTGCACAACCCAAGCTTATTACCAGCACCCCTGACAAAATCATTGTTTTTAGGGAAGGTGGAAGTTAGTGACACTAGAATTCTGACCTGAACTTAGAATTGATGGATTTGAATCTCCAAAATACAACCTCTGACATTTCATTCTTCCATATTCCCACCTAAACAAAATCATCTCTCAAAAGAAACATGATTGAAGGAGTTGAGAAAGTCACACTTGACACAGCAATTCGAGTAAATGTGAGAACTTTTCACTTTACCTGGTATTCTTCATAAGTGGTAATGTAATGTGAATAAACATTACATAGACCTGAAATAACAACAGTCATATTCTTCATCCCATATGATGCAAATTCCTAGGAGGGAAAAGTGGAGCCTCGTAAAATTATTCTTCACTTTAAAGTTATTATCATTCTAGTTATAGATAAGGTACAATAATTCTGTGAATGGTTAGCATAAATGTCTCTTATAACAAAATTCTCCCCGATGATCAAAACCACCAAGGAATACAGAGACATCAAAGAATCTTTTATTTCAGTTGGAAAAGCCAATGGGTCTATGAATATCTTAATGATCACATTGGCAAACATAGAATTTTCCAGTCATCTTACAAGCTCCTGAAACTAATGGCTAGAGATCATCTTGAAATTAATGGGTGGTCAGCATAAAAAAGAATCATTTAAAAGATATAAAATCATAGGGGTAGGGAATTCTTTTCCCTTCAAATATAAATGTGTAGATATTTTATTTCATATTTAACTTACTGCTTGAACTGCCTCTCGAAGTCTTCGTCCAGACATGGTCCTGAATCAAGAAAAGAGAATTATGTGATGTTTTACTATTTAGAATATATGATAGTATTCAGAAAGACTTGTAGTAAAAGCTAAAAATCTACCCTGGCTCATCACATAATAGTAAAATATGGGGGAACTCAATGATGATACAAAGCTAAAGTAGGATGGGGTTTGTTTTGTTTTTGTGAGGGGGTTGTGTTTTTGGTTTTTGTTGTTTTTTTTTTTCCCAGTACTGGGGCTTGAACTCAGGGTCTCACACTTGCTATGCAGGCACTCTACCACTTTACCACTTGAGCCATTCCACTAGCCCTTTCTTGTTTTGGATATTTTCAAGATAGGGTCTGGCAAAGTATTTTCCCAGGATGACTTCAAACCATGATCCTCCTGATCTCCGCCTCCCGAGTAGCTAGGATTACAGGTATGAGCCACTGGTGCCCAGCCAGACTGTTGTTTTTTTTTTTTTTAACTAGCTTCAAAGAAAATCCTAAACTAACAGCAATTTGACCAAAGAAGGGAAACAGAATGAGTGAGTATCACTGGCAAAATATCATCATCATTTCTATTCATTTACTGAACAAACTATATCAGCTGCATTCTATGTTAATGAGAGTTGTGGCAGGAAGAAAGTGTACCTGCTACACTTCTATGTGAAAGATTCTTCAGTAGCCCCCACTAAAAGAGGGTAGAAATGTTTATCACTGTTGCTAAACAGTATAATGGATATGAAGCAGTTAGTGCACAATTATTTTCCTATAAGAATTAATTCCAATGGAAACACACAATGAACAAATCTTTAAGAAATAAAAAGAAGAACTTACGTTAACTCCCCAGGGATAGCAGCTATGGCCAAGGACCCAAGAATAATAATCTGAACATCAACAATATCTGGATGCCAGGGATGAGGTCTTGATAGCTACAACCCCAAAATAAGAAAATTTTGTTAAGTGTATTCTTCTTTCTATGCTCAACAGACATATGGGTCCATACTCTCCTTTATTAAAGGATTTGTATTTGTATTTGAAGCTAGTTTGTTTTTATCCCATCTAGGATTTACTTCTAATTTATGATGCAGCATTAAACATACTGTTTGGGTGCATATGTCCTGGTCATATATGTGAATCTCAAATGTAACTGCTACAGTAACCCAGAAGTTTTTAGTAGATTTGTCATTGTGGAATAACAGTACATAGCAGATAAGCAAGGGTTCTTCAGAGTGCCGTTGGTGACTGGCCTTACCCATGATGAATAAGTAATGCTATTTGGAATAGTTTACACTGATAGCACTTTGTCCTAATGATACTTTAAATTTATAGTTCCCTAGTCTTGTCTTATCTTCCAAAGTTTCTCCAAGAGAATCTATCTTTTTCCATAATTGGATTATATAGAGTCTATCTCTCCATTACTTCCTTTCCCTTCTTTCATCTCCCTTAAGAACTTTAATAGAATATTAGAAAAAATCTATTTTTAAAATGTTTCTACTTCAACAATCCATGTTTCTATAAATATTGGAATGATCTTTCACCTCTCAAAGTGTAAAAATACATAATCTAAAGACGTGTTGAAAGAAAATTGCTTTAGTTAATGATGTTGCCTAAAGAGTAAAATAATTGATATACAAGCACGTCTTTTTACATGACTTAGATGTTTTCCTCTGTAAGAAATTCTGCCCTCCTGACCAACATAAATAAAGTCTGAGAAGTATTAATCTTATTCTACCTTTCTGACTATTCCAACTATCTCATTTATTTATCATAACTATAATAAGGTAAATCAGTATATTTAATAATCATAATCTTCCTTAGAGCTCCACTTGTAGCATTCATATTACTATTAAAAATGTTCTGTGAGAATAGCTAAATAAAATATTTTATGTCAACAGGCATCTACCATTCATTTTTTGATAGCTCACAAATTAAAAAATGACAATCCACCAATTTTACTATGATAATGAAAATGCCTTACCTCTCCAGTGTGGAGAAGGATTGGCTTTGGTTTATGACATTCTTTGATTTCATCAGATGGACTACCCAGGATCTGGTCCCGAAGTGTGTCCCAAAATGGATCTCCTTCTGTCGTCCCTATTTAGGAGTGGTATGGTTAGCATGGCTCCTTGAACTACCCCTTTGAAAAAAGTCATTATTTAGGAAAAGGGGAACAGGTACTAGAGAAAAGGTTAGTTCAAGAAGAATTAACCTAGAACACGCTCGCAGAAACAATGTGAGTCAATGCACTGTATGCTATCCTTATCTCAACCAGCAAAACCCTTGTTCCTTCCTATTATTGCTTATACTCTCTCTACAAACAAATTAGAAATACTGGCAAAATAGTTTCTGTTGGGTATTGGGGGCGGGAGAGGGGGGGCGGGACTGGGTTGGTAAGGGAGGGGGTGGGGGCGGGGGGAGGAAAGTGAACAAGCTGTATGCACATATGATATAAAAGAAAAAGGAAAAAAATGGAATATTTTAGTCAGCACCTACTCTGTGGCCAAGTACTGCACTTAAGAGGCTTACCATACAGTGTTGAACTGAAATTCATTCAAAATAAAAATGATTCCTTTCAGTAAACCTCTCTGAAATGTGTTTAGAAAACTATTCGTTTAAAAAATTGTTGTGAATTTCACATATTTGCCAAAAGCAGACCCAGTGACATGGGCTGGGGATTGTCCAGCATATACTTCCACTGACCACCCAACACAACATAGGCAAGCTTACTTTCTGGAGCCCTTCCTTCTTTCTTCCACACAAACCTGGCCTTTTACACGGGTTTCCTTCCAACCTTCATTTGTGGCCATGACAGATGCTGTTTTTACCTGATTTTACTGTTACGTGTGGTTTATATAGCGGTACATTCCTCAGACTTCTGCTCATCTAGCTTATTGCAAGGGACATTTTCCCCAAACACATCATTTACCTAGCAACTGAGGGTCAACCAAAAGGACTCTATTCACAGCTAGTCTTCCCTCCTAATAACAGTGCCTCTAGAAACCACAAGACATTAGTTGAATGTCCTTGGCCCTCACTCTTCCACTGTTAAGAAATTAATGGGGGCTATTCATTTAGAAATTCTCCTTCTGAGAAGCTGAGAAAAATTTCTTAATAAAAAATTCCTTATAGACACAAAATTTTTTCTCATTAGGACTGTTTAGGAGTAGTTAAATATCAATAATTACAGAGCAAATGGCTAAGTATGTAAACTCACATGAAATATCATTACCATTACTGATTAGATTGTAAAGCAAAACAGTGATATTAATATTGAATACAAAACAGTTGTTTTTGAGATAAATATTTTATACTAATAACAATTATATTCAGATGAGAAAAGATGAAGAAAAATAACCAAAATATCAGAGTTGTTTAAAGGCTCATAGCGTGGTTATTTTCTTTTCTGTTAGTTAAAATATTATATAAAAAAAAAAATAAGGCAGATTTCTATCCATTCTTTCAGCTATAACAATTTGACACATTTTTTGTGATTAGTAGAACATACAATTTCAAGTATAGGGTTGATGTGAAGAGCACAACCAAACTTAATGGAAATGCTGCCTGCATTACAATCTTGGCTATTGTAATGCTCTCTGCTTTAATTTTTCATCACTTAGAATGAGGAAAATGAAGAAATTCATCTTGCAAGGTTGTCAGTAAGATTATTGCACATGGAAGGAAGTCTGTAAGCATTCCACTTACAGACAATTGATGCAGTCATTCATTCATTTCTCACTTATCTTCCCCATGTGTTCATTAAACCCTGGCCTCAGTGCAAGGTGCTATTGTAGGTGTTTTTAATTAAAAAGGGCAATTAGATGGTTAAAAAAAAAAATCTTGGCTATTTTAATGCTCTCTGCTTTAATTTCTTCATCTAATAGAATGAGGGAAAAAGGAAGAAATTCATCTTTGCAAGGATTTCAGTAAGATTATTGCACATGGAAGGAAGTCTGTAAGCATTCCACTTACAGACAATGATGCAATCATTCATTCATTTCTCCACTTACTCATTCCCCATGTGTTCATTAAACCCTGCCTCAGTGCAAGGTGCTATTGTAGGTGTTTTTAATTAAAAAGGCAAATTAGATGGTTAAAAAAAAAAAGAAAAAAGTCATTATTTAGAAGAATGTACAAAAATCCTTCTAGAAGTTTCAGAGATTTTATTAAGGTTGTTTTTCAATGATTTTAAATACTTTGAATAATAGAGGAGGCAGAATTTCCTGTGCATCACAAAATAATAGCAGCTATTTAATTAGACCTTCAATGTATATGAGAGAATAACTTAGTACATTTTCTTCGATATCCTCAAAATTCTGCTTCTATTGACCTTATTTAAGTTGTAAATAAAATCATTTTAATTAACAGTAAATTTGTGAGCTAAATCACTTTTTCTTATTATAAAAACTAAAAATGACCCCTTCAAGTTGTAATACCAGTTGTGGTCTTTAAAGAACCCTTTCTGAATTCTCATTCAAACAAGACACACACACACACACACACACACACACACACAGAGCAGTAAAACAAAAGCAAGCTTAAATAAGTAATATGGGGAAAAGGAGTTTTGATAACTATAAAAACATACGAAGTCAGAATTTATAAACCATCAGGAAATAGATAGATCAATTTAAAACATTTTGTACCTAATAGCAGAGCACCAAATACTTTAACTAAAACTGACAGAAATGAAGGGAGCAATAAGAAATTCAACAATAACAGCAAAACTTTCAATAATGAATAGAACAACTCTGCAGATCAACAGGGAAGTAGAAAGGTTGAACATTACCAGAAACCATCTAGATCTAAATGACAACCTATAAAACACTCCATCTATTGACAGCAAAATCCACATTCTTCTCAAGTATGCATGGAATATTACCCAGAATACACTATGTGCACGCCATAAAACAAAACTTAATAACATTTAAATAGTAAAAAAAATGATACAATGTATGTTTTCCAACCACATTGGAATGAAATTAGACATAAATTAATATGGAAAAAATTAGCAAAAGACAGGTGTGGTGGTTAATGCTTGTAATTCCAGCACTCAGGAGGTAGAGACAGGAAAACTGACAAGTTTGTGATTAGCCTGAACTATATACTAAGAGCCCTGTCTTAAAAAACACTGGGGAAACTCAGATGTGGAAATTAAGTAGCATGATCATAAATAAGATGATCACATAGAGTGCTTGCCTCACAAGCATGAGGCCTTGGGTTTAATTATAAGCACTGTTAAAAAAATGAAAATGGAAAAAAAAGATATTGAAAATACTTTGTGATAAGTGAAAAATTAGATATAGCATATCAAAATTTATGGTATTCAGTGATAGCAGACTCAGTGGAAATTTTGTAGCTGTAATTCCCCAAATTAAGAGCTCAAATTAGTAAATTAACTTCTATCCAGGCGCTGGTGGCTCACCTGTAATCCTAGCTACTTGGGACTCTGAGATCAAGAGGGTCAGGGTTCAAGGTCAGCCTGTACAAATAGTTTATGAGACCCCCCATCTCCAAAATAACCAGAGCAAAATGAACTGAAGTATGCCTCAAAAGGCAGAACACCTACTTTGCAAGCATGAAGCCCTGAGTTCAAGCCCTAGCTCCATCAAATAATAATAATTTCTGCCTTAATATGCTGGAAAAGAAGAGTAAATCAAACCTAAGTCAGGCAATAAGAAAGAAATAATGAAGATAAAAGAGGAAATTAATTAAATAGGGCATAGAGAAAAATCAATGAAATCAAAAGCTGGTTCTTTGAAAAGGTCAACAAAACTGACAAACCTTTGAGTAGACTGACCAAGAAAAAAGAGATAGAAATTAAAAGAATCAGAAATTAAAAGAGATACTACTACTGAATTTAAAAAAATTTTAAAAATTATAAAGGACAACTATGAGTAAGTATGTGCCATTAAATTAGATAACTTAGATGAAACAGATAAGTTTCTAGAAAGACACAAACTACCAAAACTAACTCAAAAAGAAATAGGCCATCTAAACAGGCCTATAAAAATAGAGAATTCATAATACTTAAAAACTGCCTGCAAAGAATAGCTTGGCTCACATGGCTTCACTGTTCAATTCTATCAAACACAGAGGATTAACACCAACTCTTTACACAAACTCTTTAAAAAATAGAAAAAGGAATACTTCCTAAATCATTCTATAAGGCCAATGTTACTCTGAAACAACACGTGAATATATCATAAGAAAAGTACACATCAATGTCTTTTATATATGGACACAAAAATCCACAAAAAATACTAGCAAAATAAATACAGTAGCATATAAAAACCATTAACATTATGACCAGCAAGAATTTTTCCCAGAAATGCCAGGTTGACTGAATATCCAAAAAATTGATTAAAGGAGGGGCAGGGTGATATGGCAAATTAGAAGCATTCTTCGTTTTGACTTCAAGAATGAGAAGATTCAGGTGACAAAGAAAAGGTTATATTCCAAAGACAGGAAAAGAGGAAGAACATCAGGAATCACACAGGAGGTGGTAGGACAGCAGAAAAGTAGAGAGAAGCAGAGCATCAGAGAAAAGCAGCCAATAGTTCCAAGCCCCGTCCCTGTTCCCTGGGAGGGGGAGGGAAACTGAAGATGTAGTCATAGGGTAGACTAGATGGCCCTGGTGACAGACTGGCAATTCTAGCTACATAATAATCCCATACTCCTCCCCCACTCCCAAGTCTTAAACCCAATGCAGGGATTTGGTGAGACAGTAATTGCTCTGGTGCAGAAGGCTAGACTTGATGAAGAAAGACATTCTGTTGCTCCCTCATCTCAGAGCTACAATACCATCCTGAAAGAAGACCTCTTTTTTAGAGACTTGAGATACTTTACCAAAAAACTGATCTGGTTGATACTTTATGTGTCAAAATTGCAGGACACAAGATCAACATACAAAAATCAGTGACCTTTCTATACAGCAATTACTAACAGGTTAAGAAAGAAATCAGAAAAACATTCACAATAATCTCAAAGATTTTTTTTAAAAAATTAAATTCTTAGGAATAAACCTAAGGAGGTAGAAGACTTCTACAATGAAAACTATAAAACTTAGAAGAAAGAAATTGAAGAAGACACTAGAA